GGACGATGGCTCTGAGGGGTCTAGAGAACTGCTGCTGCGGATAAGAGCTGGCTCACCTGTCTGACTCACTTTCCCTAGCGTGTTCTGAGACTGTCCCTGAGACCCTTTGTGAATCCGCCTGATCCTGGCCCTCACCCCAAGCGGTCAACCACTGCTTCTGTGCTGCTGCCTTCCCCTTTATCACCGTCGCGGTCACTACGATCCACAGGATCATGACAAGGTCACTCTCATCGAAGCTTGTTCGACCCTGCAATCCTGCAACCTTCTGAGTCCTCCTGACGCCGGTGGGAGAGCCCAGCCAGGCGGCTTTGAAATGCTCCGCATGGCGCTCCCACGAGACCCAATGGCGCATCGTTATCCATTACTCCCAACGCCCAGCACACTGGGAAAGGAAGGAGAAGCAGAGGGCGAAGCTCAGCCACTTGCTTCATGCGGACACTTATAGCAGGGTCCAGCCGACGACCAGATGAACCTGGAGAATGCAGGCGCACGCCGCCGCTGTCAGCCTCGAAGCTGGGTGATTCAAACAGGCGAACAATTCAGAAAGATGGCCAGGAATAGTTCTCTGTACCATTCGTGCCCCACGTTTCTGGGTCTGAGACCTCAGAACATGGCGATATGTCGGGGCTGCGTACAGAAGTGCAAGGCACAGTAAAGTAAACATCAGCTCTTGCCGTGCGAAACCCGTGCTAGCTACCCAGGTTGGCACCGTGGGCGCGTGGGTAGCTGCGCACGCTGTAGGTGTTAGCCTGTCGAGGATCGAGGAACTGTTCTAGTTCCTGTCCGCCTTCGGAGACTGGTCACGGCCGTCACGGGCTGACAGAGCGCCGGAGCGGACTGCTGGCTGCTGGCCAGGTGAACACAGAACGAGCGAAGCGTTGACAGGAGTGGTCGTACGTCAGCTACTACCGTCAGGGCCTCAGCGATCAGCAACAGAAGAACAGGAGGGCGAGCAGGCGAACAGATGAGCGCGGCAAAGACGAGTTAGACGAATGGACGAGCTAGCACGCACCAAGCACAGCCTGTGCGTGTCTGGCCCAGCGCGGCCAGCTGCTGCAGTTCTGGCCGTCAGGTTGATTGGGATGGCGCCGTGCCTGGTATTGTGCCTGGACTTGTGCCTGGACAAGCGGGCTAAAGCTCTGGGCACATAGGTCCAGGCCTCCCTCGGGCGCCCTACTCGAACCCCCGTTACAGGGCACGGGTCTGCTGGAGCTCCATTCATAGGGATGATGTTCCTGACCCTGAACCCAGGGCAGCATTCCTCTGCTGTTCTTTCTCCCCTTGCTTGTCCCCACTGGCCAACTGGCCACTGGCATAGTCGTGCACTATTGCTTGCACAGGTGCAACTGTCTTCCCCATGCTCACGTCCACCAGCATGCCCCTAATGAACGCCTTTCTATGTGCGGCTGCGGGTCAAGCTTGCGGATCTTGCATTATGCGGGCATACAGGCTCCTTCTCTCAGCTCCTCTGTCGTAGCCGGTCGAAGACATTAGTGTTGACCGTCAACACACATACTTGATAGCCAAGCCATCCATACGTCAGTGGCCCAGTAGCATGGGGAAGGTGGTCAGTCACATCACAGAACTCTCTATGCTCCATTCGCCTCTGGCCTTACGCACTTCGGACAGGGCATGCATGCCAGTGATCGGGGATGGGCTTCTGGGGCTGCGAGCGCAGCCTGGATTGCGGAATAAAGCTGCCTCCTTCCGTGTTGTGTATTGCGTATTGGGTTACGTGCAGCTCTGACTGCATGGCTGATCATGGCTGACCGGGTTCCAAACCCGGGCTGGCTGTGTTGATGTGCGGGGCGGCTGTGCCTCAGAAATCAGACAGGATCTGGGATATGTGCCGACCGATACATTGGATCCAGTCTGGGCCATGGCTCGTAGGGCGCTGCGCGCCATCTGATCATCTGAACAACCATGGGTGACCATGGGCCGGGATGCGATATGCGGGGATGGGACAGGGAGCACTGTGATCCTGTGATGTGCAATACCGCGATCGCAATATCGTATGCTCTCCCACCAATGGCCAGGCCGGGGCGGGTGGACATTTGGTATCGGGCGCAGACTAGACGTTGCGGATCCACTCGACATTCGATCCACCCCGCATCGTCACTGGATCGCTGAGGCATATGCGGTTAGCTGCGGTTATTGCGCTGACATTCTGGGACTAACAGCGGTCCTTGCGGCTCGCGGCGCACACTGACCGCTGATCGTTGGCTGGGTGGCTTGACCACTGGCCGATCTGGATCTAGATCTCCTCTCAACCGGTACAGTCCCGGCTCGACGGCGGAGGTGGCTTTCGAAACAAAGACAGAATAGCGGGCCGGGTCGAAAGGCCTCACGGATCATGCTGAGGGCTAGACGCATCCCACTTCTCCGCTGCCGTTAGTCCCAGAGAATGTTCGATCGCATAGGCGCCGAGGGCTGTGTGCGGGGTGCAGGATTGGCCCGTCTCCGATGTCGACCTGACTTCTTGATACGTGAGTGTATGAACAACGACTGCGGGGTAGCGGGTCATTAGCATGCATAGTATTCAACAGCGGGATGGCCCACTCATCGTATAGAGCTGCGGTTACCATTCTGACGCAGCTGCAGAGACGCAGACAGAGCCTCTTGCCGCTAGACTGTAGTCTGAATGCGCAAGCGGGGCTGGGCTGGTCCAGCCCGGCGGAGCCTTGGGCCGCCGATTCAGTGTCTCGAATGGTGACGCGAAGTGATCTACCGGCTGTGCCCCGTGCTAAGGCGTAGGCGCGTAGGCTAGCATTGGCAGTGCTGCTACTGGCCAAAGGGTACTGGCCTACTGGCCGGCCTGCGGCTTGCGGCTGCCGTGGAGGAAAACAATGGACGTGCGTCCCCCGACTGGATCGCATGGATCGTCTGATCTTGTCTGACCGGCGAACCGCAGCTTCTGGGCCACTGCCCACACCCGCGCCCCATCTCGCCCCTGCGCCCCGAACAGCATGATCTGCGGTGTGATGCCCCCCGCCGTGTCGAACCTGATGTCCTGAACCGGCGAGTCGGAACTGGCATCGCTGTACTATGTTGTGGAGAATGAGGTGTTCCTCGGTCAGTTGTAAGCTCTTCCGGCGCCGGTGGTTGGACGATGGGGCAGGTTGCATCGGGTTGTCAATAATGAGCGGTGAGGGTGGTACGGCTATTAGAATCCGAAGGTCGTGTTAAATCAGGACATGGTCTGGAGAGGGTATTAGGGGGCAGTAAGCTGTGGCGGCATCGGAGGGTCCAAGGAAGGGCAGGGGCGCTCTGGAGGCAAGCTGGAGACCCCAGGGGTAAGGGTCCGTACAAGTGTTCCTGGAGTCCTACAGGTCCTGGAAAGAGTCCTGGTCGTATCCTAGACTGGCCGTTGGGCCCGTTGGGCTGCATGGCTTACGGCCTCTTCGCCTTCCTTCCTTCCTTCCTGGCTGGGTTGGGCGTTGGGCACCTGGGCGAAAAAAGATCTGGCCGATTCAAGATTAGCGCACGCACCGGTTCCTTGCATACATACATACTCGTCCACCTGCTTGCTTCCTCATCTCGCCCGCTCTCCGCGCACTTGTTCATCCTCCTCTCAACATCCCCTTCCACCCTTCGATTCATCCGGCTCCCCCGTGACGAGAATCACTCCTTCCTCATCCTCATATCTCACAACTATCCTTCCAACAACGTACCACTTCCCCGTTCCCCGTTCCACACTCCTCGGCTCTGACCCCACCAACGTCTCCTACCTCATTCCACCATTTCGCCCTAGCCAGCCGACCGCCGTTCGGTGCCTCCGTCCTTCTTCGAAGCTCCCGACCTTAACGACCTGGCCCTTATCTTACTTCGGTTCCACAGTGTCGACCACCTCGGCCCCGACTGCGTACCTCCCCGCACATAAGCTGCAGCGCCTCCTTCTCAGACACACACACAGTCCTCGCACTTCGTGTACCCTCGCGCCCGACTCACCGTTCAAATCCGCCGTTCGCATTTGTTCCACCAACGCTTGCTCAACGAACGTCGCAACCAGCTATCGCGACAAGATCGCTAATCAGCCTCCACCAGTTCGCTCCACGGCTTATCCGGCTTCGAAGTCGCGGCAGTCCGCATCCTGGTCCCCAGTTTAGTGCGTCACCTTTCCAAAACGTCTCCGACGGCTATGTCTGCCAGCCGGCCCGCTCCTTGAAGCAGTCGCTCCTCGCTCCGTCCGTTCTGCGGTCTACCATCAACATTTGGTACATCGAGGACAACGCGGTGCACAGACAATCGTTCATTTGCGGCAGCCGTGTTTCTTACTCAACATAACGCTTACAACTCCAGTTCGTGCAATCGTCTGAGGAGCATAGATCTCACCCGTCATTTCGCCTTCGGCCCAGCGAGTGCTCGAAACGCGTGCCAGCCTGTGCTAGGGGAAAGTGATTGGTCGAGCGGTTTCCGTTCGCAAACAAGACCGTGACGTTTGCTTTCTCTCACGCTCCGTGCATCAGACGCGGACTTTCTGTGCGAAACCTAACGAGGCACGCGACAAACAGCAGCGGCGATTCGGGTTGTAAACATCTCGGTGCGTGCGCACATCGATTCGTTTCGCAGCTGGACAGGGGAAGCCTCGAGCGCGCCAGTTTGTGGCAAGCCAAGACCCCGCGCCTCCGCCTGCGCCTCGCCTGAGCAAGTGGCACAAGTTTGGTGAGTGAGAGAGGCCGATGAGGACGAGAAGGAAGCGTCGAGGATTATTGGTTTTGAATTCATGGTTATTCGGGTGGAGGTCCGTCGAAACCCTTACTCCCCTCAACCATCCCCTTACCCACAACGCTCTCCTGTCTCCTCGTTCTCGTCACTGCTGCAGGGTAACCCTTAACTGACTGGAATCTCACATCCACCTCCGCTCGGCTCCTTGTATCTCGCTTTTGCCTTTGCACACCGCTCCATCGATCCCTCCCACCTCTGGCACACAGCTTGACTAGTGATTACGCGACACGCCTCTTCGGCTGGACCAAGCACCATCCGCCCCTTTGCTCGGCTTGATGACCCAGCAGCCTCTGGAGACGCTGCACGAGCACGAGTCCCTGCCGCAAGGTCGTCGGCGTCAACAAAGTCAACTTGCGGGTTCGGCATACCCCGGCTTCATGTCCGGCTATCAACAACATCAGCAACAACCACCGCCTCCCCTGTCCTTTGAGGGCTCAAGCAGTGCACAGAGTGGTGGTGGCGCCGGCAGCATGCCGCCCTCCTATTCGCAGTTTCGTCCCCAGCTTAACATGGAGGGGCTTCCGATGAACCATGGTATATCCTTCGACTATCAACCGCCTGGCAGCAGCCAACCAGGACACCAGAACGGCCAGCCTGGCTTTTTCTTTGAAAGCGGATCCCCCAGCCCCAGTATCAACCAGGCAGGTGGCAGTTTTCCTCCGTTCTCAGGTGGCGCTCCCATGGATCAGACGTCACCCATGTATCTCAACATTCCCGGGCAGGACTGGCCTAACCGTCTTCCTCCCCAACAAGCGCCAGTAGTGGCGACTTCATCAAGACGCGCGAGCGGCGCGGCCTCTGGCACCAAGAATCCACGCCATCAGTTCACGGCCTGCGGTGCATGCCGGCATCGGCGAGTCAAGTGTGATCTGCGTACACGACAGGAGGAAGCTGAGCGAGAGGCCGCGTTGGAAGAAGCTCAGTCTGGCACATCAGGAACAGTGCGTCGCCGGAAAGTCAGCTGCACCAACTGTCAAGAGCGCGGCACAAACTGCGTGTAAGTGCATTCCAAATTCCTTACGTTATCCACACCCCCACCGTCCGTGCTGACCGACGAATTAGGGACGAATATGCTCCGCTCAAGGCAGCTAAGCAACTGAGGCGTGGTAAGCGCATTTCTGAAATCGAAATGCTCTACGGCAAGACTGCAACCGATGCAGCGCTCGCATCCCAAGGAGAGGGCGAGGACCGCCTTCTGAGCCCCTCCGCGCGAGGGATGGAGCGCATCCCCGAGCTTACCCGCGACTTTTTCGAGTCGTCATTCTTCCGCCGGTTCCAGATCCAGCGTAAGTTTGGCGTGGCATGTTTTGCCAACAGCTCCATGCATGAGCTAACCACTTTCCTAGGACCGGTCTTGGACCCTGTCGAGTTCGTCAGCCGGTACCTCTCCAAACCCATTCCATGCGCAGCCGCTATGGGTCCCGAAGGAGCGGTCCTCTGCCACACCTTGTATGCTTGGGGTGTTGCGTACGGTGTGGATGAGAGGGGACAGTTCGACGTGAGCGAGGGAAACCACGAGCCCCTCACTCCCATTAGCCTCGTCGCAGTTGGCGAAGCTGAGGCGCGCCGCGATGTCGACCGCCAACGGCGTTTGGAGAAGCTCAACAGGGTCGTTAGGACGATTCTGAAAGAGATCGACGAGTACGGTATCCTTCGCAAGCCGTCATGGGATGGCGTCAGTGCCCTTCTTCTTTTCCTGCCACTGTTGGACGGAAGTGTTGCCACCTCGGCCGAACGACAGGCCATGTACCAGACGGCTCTGGCCCACGTTCAAATGCTATGCTCCACAGAGGGTTGCGGGTACGACGGCAAGCCTATTTCGTTGACTTTGGACAAGGACGGCAATGACAGGAAACGCTATGTTCGTCTTCGCATCTTCTGGTACTCCTTCGCTCACGAAGGAGTGAGCATGGGCTTGAGGGGCGGTCTTCTTCAGCTTGATGAGGAGTCTGGTGACATGATTCTCATCGAGGAGCTCGCGGCGAAGCAGGGTACAGGCCGCTCGCCTGAGTATTTGCACGCAACGAACAAGATGCTCATGGCCCCCATCAACCTTGCTGTGAGTAGACACGGAACTCGCTTCAGATGACGAACTAACTATCCAGCTTGTTTGTCGCCGAGTGCACAGGATCTTGACTGGACCTCGCGCGCGTCGCAGTGATCGACTGGACCCCGACTACGTGCACCAAGTGTGGGATGCGCTGGACCGGTCTTTCGATGAGTTTGACTCCATCCGCCGCGAGCCTCCTGCGCCTCCATACCGCAGTCAGGAGGAGGTTCAGCGGTATGCGGATTCGTGGCTGATTTACTGCATGGAAGCGCAGTATGCGATCATGCGGGCGATTGAGGAGCGCATTGGGCGCCTGGACGCATCGCTCAGCTCTCGCGGAACATCGAGCTCATCGCACACCGGTTCGCCTCCGATGAACGAGCAGCAAGCTGAGCTCTCCCGTCTGCAGCGCCTTCTGGAGGCGTCAAGGACGAAGTGCGAGTTGACTGCTCGCCACGTTGCCAACATTGCCCGCCGGCAGTTGGGGACGCCGCTGTTTGAGTGGGACGCCAACCACGTTCAGCAGGGTCTATTTTTGGCCGCCACCTTCCTCGTAACGGACCCCGATGCCCAGGACCTCATCGCGGCATGCATTCAGGCGCTCAATGAGAGTCGTATCGCTGTCTCCAAGGCAGGTGACCGGTCTCAGGAGTAAGTTCGATTCGGGTTAATCAGCTCCGCCCCAGGAACTAGCTGACCTGATTCCACAGGTTGCGCAAGATGTGGTACGAGGCGAATCAGAGGCGCGAAAACGGCGGTGACTCGGCAGCCATGGGAAGCCAATCTCTGCCCAACTCTCACGGTCATTCGCCGTACATCTCGCCTCAGGTGCACCAGCGCGCGCCTTGGACAAGCCTCGAAGCGGCCACGCAAATGGCGGATGGCGTCCCCTCCGACCACCGCAAGTCGCCCGGACACCCGTCGCAGCCGTCACCTCCCTACGGTGTGCGCTACCCCGATCCCCAGATGATGCCCCCTCCTGCCCTTTCCCACCAGCCTGACCTCGCCTACCAGCATGGTGTGCCTGCCGCCAACGGCCAGTTCTCCTTTCAGTCTCAGGACGGCCGAGGCTACATGGGGTATGGCAACATGCCGTAAGGCCCTGCATGCAAGCCCGCCTCGGTCTGCAAGCAGGAAGGATACATACAACCATCATCCACCTCTGCCGTAGTGTGCCAGGTATACGCAGTGCCACTCGCGCGCCACATCTTCTTCGCATTCAACATCGGCTTTGGCTATCAAGGACCAACACGCATAGCTTCGACATTCAACCACCACACGCGACCAGACCAAACAATTCTCATTGTCTCTTCCAATGTTCATCTCTCGTCTCCTCTCTCTCTCGTTCTCTGACAACAATATCATGAAGACCAGTTCCGGGCTTGCTCTATTTGCCGTCATTCAAGATTGAGCTGTAACTTCAAGATTGAGCTGTAACTTCGGTAGTATCCTGTGGTTCCCGTATTCTTTCTCGCCCTCGCTTCAATCGGTTCCTTATTCTTTGTTTCCTTACTCGTACGTGACTATGTAACCAAACGCTTTTGAGCGAATACTTCGTAACCGTTGCGCCCTTTCGTCCGACCGCCTTACTCCCTGCGGATCATGTGCCGTCTTCACCTCCAAGCTCTCGCACTCTGAGACCTGTCACACGATTTGCCTCTGGACTCTCTTATCGTTATCACAAGTTTCGTGTGCTGTCAAGTCTACAGTATCTCATCCGAGCATTGCACATAGGTGGCGTGCCGTCTCGACAGGCTTGTGCCAATACAAAACCCAGGGCTGTGGCATCGAGCTGACCGCGGGTGCCACGCCCCCTCGGCGTCGATAGCATGCCGGTCCTGGGTTGGTTTACCCAAGCGAGGGTGCCCTTGGGTCAGCTATGTACGTTCTATGCCTGCTTTGCTGATGTTGGCGCTCGTAACGCGCCGCGCAACCAACTCGGTACGGCAGCTCATCAGAGCTCGCAGGTGCGCTGACCCTTCACTAGCGCGCGGATGTGTGGAGCGTCTAACGCGCAGTTTGCCTGCGTGATACGCCGTCTTCCCCACCAGACCCAAGAATGAACCCGGCCTGGTGTCCGATGCCCTGCTCGCTTCCCACTTGGAACACCTGGCATCCAGGCGAGGCTGTGGCGGGAGAAGAGAGACATTAGACCGCATATGTCCGTGCATGGGCGACTCATCCGTGCGAGAGGAAGCACGTTGACCGCCACCTTGGTCCGAGTACCGGAACTAGGCGAACGGAGAGAGGCGGTCGATGGACTGCAGACGTGCCTTAGAGCCAGTGGGCGTTGTGCCGTTCAGCTGAATGCGTCATGTGACAGCCCTGGGCGTGCAGAGCTTAACGTGCAAGCATGGTGTAGGGCACGGGAGAGTGGAAGGAGGCAGGGACGAGCGAGGGGGTAAGGGGGTTCTGGGATTGCGTCATCACCAACATGCTCTTGCGGTGGTCATAACCGGTGCAGTGGTGGTAGAGGAAACACCAAGCCGTTATTTACCGGGGCGCTGACGTCCGGCGCCCTGCATCCTCTGGAGAAGGGTAATGCGCAAAGAGGGTGGTGCTTCCCTGCCTCGACGTGCTCCGTTAACAGCTAGCCTGCGGCGAAGAGTGAGCAGATCGGGCGTATCCGGCAGGCAGGCAGAGCTCTCCACTTCCCTTGCAGCATTCCTGTTGTTCTTCTGCCCCACAGCCCCAACTGCCGGAATCATGCACAGACTGACCACTTCGGGAGATACTACACCTCTGTTACCCCAAGATCTGGGCCAATCACGGCGCCGGAGGTATCCGCTTCTTCTCGCTCCTCGGACATACTGGATGGCATGCCTCAGCTTCCACACCCTGCAATTGCCCCAGAGCTTCGAGCAAGGTGCAAGTCGTGCTCGTCTAGATAGCTGGAGTTAGTGGAATAGTAGAATGGCGGCAGGCAGGGCCTGGCCGTCGCTCGCAACGGGCCGCGCACTTGCTCGCCGTCAAGGCGTGCCGTGAGGGGCCCGCTTATTGAGCGCCGGACCAGAGACTCGTTACAGTGGAAGTTGCACCCAAAAGGGGCGATGGGGCGGAAACCCCTTTGGAACACTGGGCCACGTTTTTCTTCATTTTTCCTGTAATTTTCGTCTCGCCCGTGCACCTCGGGGCATACCCAAGGAAGGCCGAGTGCCCTTGCGCGCAGACTCCGTGCCAGATGCCCGTTTTCAAGGATGTATCTGTGCAACTGAGGATACCTGTGATTGGGAATGTTTTTTCCGTTCCTGTTGTCGTCGCGACCTCGGTGACGCTTGCGCCGTTGGGTGGCAGATCAACAGGCTGCGGAATGCCGTTGGTTGATCTGTTCGCCTTGGCCCCCTTAGTATCCGACTGCTTTGCACATTATAAGCACTTGCCGATTAATTAATCTCTTGACGCGTTTCATTAATTAATCCTGAAACTGATGTTAGTCTCCAAGGCTCGGTGCCATCCGCTTTAGGCGCCGGCTCTGCCCGGCATCCTTGGGTGGTATGCCGAACGGCGGTGGATGTCAGACTCATTCCCTCCTTTCCTCATCACGATCTCCAGAGCCTGAATGGTCTCGGACCTTCCCCCGACAACCTGTTGCACATTCCAGGCTTAACCGCCCTCCTTTCGAGCACCTGACCGGCAACATGAACGAAATGTGATAACAGGCTAAGTAACCATCTGTTGCTGTGCTCCGTACCGGTTCTAATACGCGCGTTCGGTACTTCAATTGCCTCTGCCCAACCTGTTGCAAGTCGCGAACAGCCTACGATTGATAGGAATGTAAGTCAAAGTACAGAGAGGGCAAGCCCCCTTGTTCACTTCACAAACATTGGAGGTGCGTGCCACGCCCCACGCCTAGTCCCTTGAAAGGGAAGAGGCCAACTAGCTGCGGCTCTGCAGTGTGTGTGTGTGAAATCATTGGCGCTTCGTGCTCAACAGAGTACTGCCTCACGATCTCGGCCCTCAAGCACCCTTCGATCGCGATCTGACATGGGAATGTAGAGAGAGCCGACTGCTCTCAGACCTCTACTTCACCTCAGGTGAAAGTGTGGCGCTGCAGTTCCTTTCCAGCCACGAGCGCCGCACCTTGAGCCTGGCGGGACGCATGTTTAGGATTGGTACCAGCCGGGGCCGGGCCAAGGACCGGGCACGGTGCCAAACCTGCAATTGTACCGCAACGCCTCGAGATTTTTACCTGTTCTGAGGCACCACGGGGTTTGTAGGCAAAAGACCAGAGAAGCTGTGAGCTGGCGGGCTGCGCTCCGCCTTAACTTCACATGAGTCATTGGCTTCTGCCGCCCCTGGCTTTCTCTCTTCAGACACAACTTTGGGTGCCCAAAACAGGTGCATTGCGGTTCCTGTCACAGGCGTCGCAGGGTTGCATCAGGTGTATGATAATGTCCACACGGATCGTGGCTATTGTACTCCCGTGGATTTGCAAGTATCGCATCTATTGGGATGCCAGATTGGCACCCGCTATCCCTCAGGCTGCTACATGTTGGCACATGCTGGCCGGCGTTCGTCCCCTCGTTTTCGCGGATCGAGAGAATTCTTATGATGTGGAAGGGCATAAGTGTGGCAGCGACGAGGCAGACGATCTTCAACGATGAAGAGGGAATGCATCCACGTACAATGGAGCCAACAACATCTGAGGCTTCTGTTAGCTCCGGAAACCCAATATCTCAGTGGCCGCGTGCAACCCCGCGCCACAGAGATGTCAGTGTCAGAAGAGAGACCGTTCCAACGCTGCCAGGAAGAGACTGGCGGCCGCTCAGCTCTGTGAAGCGATGCTGGGGGATTGTCAATTTCTGCCATTTCTTATCGAGATTTAGATGGCACTGTATTTACTGTACAATGGCTGGCGAGGCAGCGGGAGCGAGGATTCATCTGATCAGTTGCAAAGCACAGGAGACCATTTTCCATAAGGCATCGCAACTCGTCTCGACCACATGGGATGTTGATTGCAACTCGGAACAGTATAGGGCCATCGTCGTTCTGCGGCAGCCGCGCCGCGCTGCTTTCCGGTCAGATGGCCATTATTCATTCGTCAAAAGTCACAGCTGTGCCACAAGCGTTGTGAGCAGTAGGGGTTCATGTCCGAGGACGTCTCGAAGTTTTTACCGCTTGGCAATTGCGCTCAACAACTGACCGGTCCGCACAGCATGCCCACTGCACAGACAGAAAATCACAGCTACCCGCGGCATGAGACGATTTACCGCACGTCGTGCGAGTAAGAAGGTGAGGCTTTGCAGAAGAGTCATCCGTCGTGCCGACGAGCTGTTCCGTCCCAATGAAAAATGAGCTCTCACCTGCGTCCCGGAAACCCCGAGAGATCGAGAAAAGACAGGGTTATCGTGTTGTGATATCTCTCCTTGGGTGAGAGCATGCCTGAGCGATTCTCCGGGCACCTTCCGCCGAGATCCAGCCGAGGAAGGGGGTTCTGAACCTCGATGTTTTTCTTCGCACGCATAATTCCGCAAAAAACCAGCACACGACTCATCATGAGCAATGTCCATGAACAGGTAGCTTCAAGACCTGAACGGGAGGAACGAGGAGCCAGATGCTCTCCAGATCGTCAGTGATTACCCGTTAGCCCCCCACTGTCGGCCCGCTCTCGAAAAGTTCTACTCGGACCGCCGGAATACCAAGTGAAATTGCAGGTTGTCTTTTTGAAGATTCAAACTAGCCATTGACGCCAACGGCATGCATTCTCGATTTCGAGGCAAGTGGTGCTCGTCTGTATAGGTGCTCTGTATGCGTGGTCGCGACTGATTGATTTGAAGACCGAAATGACCGAGGGTTTCGGCGAAGGTGTCCGATGTTAGGGACCGTTCCTTTCCTGAGGCTGCGGTAACCTCGGACATGAGCAGTGGGGGGCATGTACACATACCCCATGTGCAACGCCGATAGTTTCTTCCTCCCAAGCGCACAGGACGAGTCCTTTTCGGCGTAGCGTAGTTCTCTTCACGGTTGACCTCGGCATCGACGACGATGACTGGCGACGAAGGTATTGTCCCGGCTCGTGCGAGACCTATAGCTCTAGGGCTCTTCAGCGAATCATGTCGGTGCGAACTGGGCAGGGCCCTTTCCGAGGTCGTGACACGAAGCTTGCCCCCCTCCCGAGTGTTTGAGTCTTTAGCCTCCTGTCGAGGTGAGAAGCGCTGTCTCGATTCCGCGAAAGGCGTCGAGAGCGACTAGGATATCGCGGGTGAGTGAGCCGCTGCTTAGCGGCAATGCTCTCCCCGGATTATTGACCTCAGCCCTGATGAAAGGAAGGCTGAGGGACTGTGAGATCGCCATGATCACCTACTCATGCCTAGGAGCGGTCGGAGTTCAGCGCTACTGGACAGCAGTGACCATAAATGAACGCAAGTGGGACACAGAGGAATGACCCGTCTGGGGAGAATCTCCACCGGCATTGGGGAAGGACGAAGACAACGTTCCACGATATCGCGTCCACCATTTTATCGGCGGTGGTTGGTTTGCTGTAAGCTGGGTGCAGGAAGATGGAAAGATGAGAATGCGTCCAGAAATCGGATCATCGTACGGTGGTAAACTCCGCTGCGCCGTGGTACCGACAAACCGCGTGGTTGATCTTCGGCACCGACCCGATGAAAGCCACCAAAGACTCCTTTGGGGCTGTCGGGGAAATTTCGTCTTTACTCACCTTTCGAACGCTTGCAACTGCGTACAGTACTGCGAGATGCTCACGTCCCCCAGCCTCTCTCTCTTCCTCGACGGATCGCTATGGCGCTGTCAGCATCACTTTTTATTTCCGATACAAGAAGAGCTCGCCATTGAGGGGTTGAACTCTCGACTACTATCCAGCTCGCAGAACGCAAGGCTGTTGCTACCTGCGCGGTCTTCCGAGCCGAAGATCAAAAGCGGGGCATGTCCGCGGAGTCGGCAGATCCCTCTTATCGCGCTAGCTTGCACACTACCTAACATCCCCAAGTCGCCATCTAATGGGATCCTCTCGAACCTGACACTCACCTGACACTCATTATCTGATGAGCCTTACGCTCCGGTGAGTCTCTTATGTATGGGTTTTACCAGCGCGGCAACAGCACTCCGTCACTTCAAGAGGGGAGGACTTAACAACAGGTCAAAGGTCAAATGCTGAATTGGCCGAGCTAGTGAAGTCAGCTGCAGTCGGGGTCTGGGGCCTGTGGGGGCACGCTTGCATGGAATCAGATGGTGGTTCTTCGACTCACCGGTGCACAGAGACTGCACCCGCCTCTGATGGAGCGTTGGGAAGGCGGCCTGGTTTGGTCTTACCACTACAGCGCAATTGGTTGACGCGCGAGACCGACGCTGGCGCGCATCTTGCCTTTCCTTTCCGACTTGACGTGCCCCGCACTCTCGCCAACTTCTTCAGATGGAAAGCGGGCGTTTTATCGAATCGCTGTGAAGCGTACGTCACCCCCAAACGCTGCCGATTGCGGTGCAACCCCTTCGGCGTGAGTTCTCTGCTGAGATCTCGCCTGAACTATACTGTCGGCACCGGGTTGCCAACGGATATCTGCGGGGGACATCAAGGAGCTCGCACCCTCCACGGGCGGATATCTCGGCCATCGGTGACCTCTGCATTCCGCCAGCACTCGGTCTTTACCGGTCTTTTGAGCGAGCTCAAAGCTTTGCTGATAGTTCCTCACTGTCAGCTGATGGATGGAATGTCGTTGTGGTGCGCGGATGCGATCATGCACCGACACCCTCCCGCCGCCGGAATGTAGGAACACGTGGGTTCGACAATCCACAATCAGGTCCTGCACCTCTTGCGCTCTTCTGCACCGCTCTAACCTCAAATCCCCATGGCTTCGTCTCCGATAGCCTCTCTCCTGTAAACGTTCGGTTACTTGTCTGCTGAGAAGGTCCCACTTTCCAGAGAGCGCTTGCCACGTCTGAACTCTGACAGCTGGAAGTCAGCTGCTCCGTTGTGTCCGGAGCGAGTGCTCAGCGAAGCCCCAGTCTAGTATCGCATATTCTCCACGGTCCTACCACTCTAACGGCGCACAAAAATGGCAATAACTTTGAGAGACGCACTGATATCATTCCTGACCTTTTGAAGAGTGCGAAGTCACGAGTCGCGCTGTCGGAGCTGCAGACTCAGGACCGAACCGTGCGCCATGGTGCCGGCGGCGCACCTAACCTTGTTCCAGACTTTTGCTCACTTGTCCGAAACACACCACTGTGGATACGCCGAGACTCCAGGGCGACAACGGCACGAGGTCGCAGGTATGTGCCAGCATAGGGGCCGCCGCGGAGGGAGTAGACGCAAGACTGGCCCCCACGAGCTCATGGGGCGCAAACCAGCCGTTCATGTTGACCGCGCAGCTCAATACCAAAAGTAGCGAACCCCCGTCCGGGTCGACATCGGTGGCACAGGGACCACTCGAGAGCCGCGTTCGGCTTCGGGTGCCAGGCAGCTTCTCTTGCGGGCGCACCACGACCGACCTCGCTCGATCGTCAAGCGCGACTGAGGCAGATCGCAGAGCCCGAGACCTCGACACCAATGGTTCGCCACCTCCTTCAGTCCCCAGTATCCGTTTCTACATCTCCTCCGGAGGGCTTCGATCAGTGTCCGTCAGTTGCCCACGTCGCTTAGCGCCGCACCCATACATCAGCGCAAAGGGTCTATACTCTATCGTTCCATCCCCTCTCCACTCTCAATACTTCCCGCCCATCTTCTCCCTCAGGCCTTCGAGCGCGCCGCCCCTCTCCCTCCCCACAGCAGCGAGCAGCCACTCAGCGCCAACCAGCGCGTTCTGCGCGAGCATGAAGATGGGTACTCGGACGCCCAAAGCCGGGCTGATCGCACCCGCACCCGAGTCATCTTGCCCCCCGCCCGAACCTGCTGGTAATACGTCACCAGCAGCCGGGGGGCGGGAGTGCAGAGCCTGGATGAGAAGGAAGGGGTAGAGGAGCGTGAAGATTGCCATGTTGATGAGCGGGGGAAGAAGCTGGTCAGGAGGGTTGGGATGAGGCCTGGGTGTCAGCGGAGACGAGCGAAGCGAGGCGGAGTGACGCGGAGTGACGCATACCGCCCCAGATGCAGAGCAGCACAGCGTGAAGACCTGTGACTCACCAAAACCAAACATGTATGCAGCCCTGTCGCCGATGTACGCGCACCGCCGCGCAAGGGGCCAGTCGCGGTTCGCGAATATCCACTCGTACGCATAGTACGCATTAACGAGGGCCATGTAGGCCAGTGCGATGGGACGTCCAACGATCGGAACCAGCGCGATGGAGCGCGAGACGAGCGTAAAGTCGCCAATGAGCAGGAGACGGGTGAGCGTCAGGAGCGCGGTCGAGGGCGGGGCGGGGAGTTCGGACGTGGATGAGCTGGTCCGGTGACTGGGGTCAGCGCAGTTGAAGAAAGGGTACTCACGCCGGATGCATCACGCTCTGGGCACGCTTCGCGACCCCCGGGCCCCAGTATGCATTCACCGCAAAGCACACAGCGAACATGGGCCAGTTCAGGAGCACATTGTACCAGAACCCGACTCTTGCTGCGCGCGAGCTCTGGCTCAGCACCGGGGCCATGAGCGGGAGGAGGGAGAGCAAGAGCAAGGAGATCAGGTTCATCGTCGTCACTTTCAGGACGCGCGTGCGGAGTTCGGGGTCGCTGCGTGTTAGCTCGTACGGGAAGTTCGTGAGCGATAGCGTAAAAGGAGCACACAGCTGCTCGCGAATCGACTCACCCCCAGACCAGACTCCAGCTCCGGCCCAACTCGGCCATATCCCTAACCCCCGCTTGCACCTGTCTTCCAACTCTCCTAGCCATCGGGCCAGATTCGTTCTCCTCGACATATTGGCCCAAACCCGTCATCCCCCCAAATCCGCCCCTGCTAGACCCCATCATGGGACTGAATCCGTTGAACCCATTGCCGTTCCCCAGACTCCCGTTGTGCATATGGTTGGCCCGCGGCGTGAAGGCTGGCGCGTGCCCGAATCGAGGCGGGGTGGAGGGACTGTCGTGCTGCAGAGGCTGGTAGGCTGTATTCTGCTGTGTGAGCGCGGGGGAGGAGAAGCCTGATCCCGGGCCTGAACTTGGCGTGGAACTGGGTGCTGGTCGGCGACGCTGGATCATTGTTTGATTGTTGTGGAGTGGACGGAGTGGACGGAGTGGACGGAGTGGACGGAGTGGACGGAGTGGACGGAGTGGACGAAGCGAAGTGGAGGTGTTTTGCTGGACTTGGCCTGATGTGCACTCTCAGATCTCAGGCACGGTAATGTCCCCTTCCGGTGTCTGGACGCGCCAGTCGTGTCCGGCCCGCTTGGACCCGCTTTCGTCGATCACACAATTGTGCTGTTACAAATACATGCATGAAATTGCGTCTGGTATATCGTCCCCGTGCTAACCGTGCCCATACTGCATGTGCATCTCCGCGTCGCGCCTTCGGCGCTATGCCTCCAGGCCACCATACCTCGCGATGTCGAGCAGCTCCTCCGGCATCTCGAGCCAGCGCTCGTACCGCCCCGTCCGCATCAGACGCCCTGTGCGGCGGTTGATCCGCGGTGCGCCCTCGTTGCTCGCTTGGCTGTCCTCGATCACGAGCAGGTCGTCGGCACGCACGACTGTGCGCACAAAGGGTATCGTCTCCAGGAACAGCGAGGGGTGCGGGAGAAGGCGGCCGTCGAGGTACACGATCTCGTCGAGCAGGGGGAGGACGTGCCGGATGTACTTTGTCCTGAGGGTCAGCTTTGTGACAGAAGAAGGGAGCTGGACTCACTGCTCGTACTGCACGTTCTTCTGCGGAATGGCACCGCCCGAGAGTGAGATGATGGTCTCGGCGATGGCGTCGGACCAGTCGCACACGGCCAGGATGGGGTACGCGTCTTGCGTGAATGGCTTCAGGAGCCGCCCTTTGGCTTCCTCGTCGTCTGGGGTAGGAGCGTAGCGGTCAACCTCGGAGATCTGGACGTCAGTTTGCTCAGGACGAGCCGCAACTCACCTCTAGCCGTCCCCAGTCGCGTTGCGCGACGAAGGCATCCGCAAAGGACATGTTCTCGAACCGCTGTTCCAGCGACGCCAGATCGCCAACATCTTCGCCGCTGTCTTCCTTGGCAACCCCGCGGTCTAGCTGGAGTTGCGTGATCGCCGCGCGGAGGTCGAACACCTCGGCCGGCTCGTTCCCGTTCGGCGGCAGGGGCTGGTCCACGAGGTCAGGTTGGTAGGGCTGTTGTTTCAGTTCTTGTGGTCCGCGGACGCCATGGTGCTTGGCGATCGCGGAGAGGTACGGATGCGCGAGGTAGGAAGGTGCCGGCTTGAAGTGCAGGATTGTCTGCAGCGGCAGCGTCTGCAGTGGTATCCGCCCAATGTCTGGCGTGTCAGTTCTACTAGGTTGGCAGATAACTCACCATTGCACGTTATGACGACTGGACGGCGCGACTCGGCGATGAGCGACACGAGCGCGGGCCAGAAACTGCTCTCCTCCTCGAAGAGAATGTCCGCTTCGTCAATAAGGATGAGGGACTGTTGCGACTTGGACTCGGCTGGCGGCTCGGGCGTGTCCACCACCTTCGCCGGCGACGGGACGACCTCGACGTCGGGATCCTTAGACTCGTCGTCGAGCTCGATCGGGTCGGCGGCGGAGCCTTGGCTCGCCTTTGGCGGCGGCGTGGGTTTCGCCGGCTTCGCCTTGCCAAACATGGCCTTCAGGGCGTCGGCAGCCGACTTCTTGTCCGCCTTCTTCTCCCGCGTGACCGTGTGGTTCTTGCCGACGTCGCCGACGAGGGATAAGAGATTCGCGCCCGTACGCCGCCCGATACCGGGATACACCTCGAAGACCTCCCATCCCAGCTCTGTCGCGGCTGCGTGGACGGCGGCAGACTTGCCCGTCCCGCTGGGGCCGGAGAGGAGGATCGTGTTCGAGACCCAGTTGCCGATGATCGGGTACTGATCCGGCCGGGCGCCCAGCGGAAGGAGTGGTTCCTCGACCGGTTCAGGGATCTCGTCGTCCTCGTACATAGTGTCGCCGAGAGGATCGGGATCACCGAACAGCCCCGCGTCGTCTACGATCCACGACAGTTCCGGATTCACAGCCTTCCGCCGGTGCACCTTCCTTATGACACGCTTACTGTCGATGGCGCCGACGGAGAGCGCCTTCAGCCAGTCGCGCAGGTAGGTAGCTTCGACCTCGTTGCCGAGCACGGCGGCGGCGGTGCGCGGGCGATGCAGGTCGCACCATGACTGTTGGGCGTCTTTCGGCGTGCGCTCCACAGCAGCGATGGCCGGGTGGTCGAGAACGAAGGGGGGCGCGGATACAGCCTCCGAGGCAGCCTTGGGCGATGGTCGCGACGGTCCAGCCTCGTCAGAGAGGTAATGCCGCCAGAACGTGCCGTCGTCGATTGCTGAAGGAGCGGCGGGGCGGTGTGCTGACCAAGTCGCGCCGCCATCGAAGCGCCAGCCAACATGCTCCGCCCACTCGTTGAAAGGGAGGTAAGCTCTCGGCTCCTCTCCCTCCTTGCAGCATCCCCATCCCTTCTTCGTCGTCCCGGGTTCACCCTTTCCGGCAGTAGCAAAGAACGAGTGGACCGCCTTCTTCGCCGGCCCCGCTGGCCCCGCTGCCCCACTTCCTGCGGCGGTCGGCGTTGCGGTGCCAGATGGTGGAACTGGCTCAACCGGCGCGGGTGCCGGCTTGGAGAAGAAACTATGCGTCGTGCTCTTCTGATCGGCGGCAAACATGATCTTCTTCGGCAGCTTCGGGCTCTCGTCCACCCTCACTGGGTCCATTGTGAGGGCGCGGGCAAGTCCGTGTGGTGCTCCACGTGATGATAAGGTGGGTGGGGGAGGGCGGTGGACAGTGAACAGGAAGAGCTTACCATTGACATCGCCAGCAGCAGACTTGCGCTTCCCCTTGCCCTCCTTCTTCTTCTTCTCCTCGGGGGGCGGCGACGGCGCCCCAACGCCGACCCCATTGACGCCAAAGACGAGTTTTCCCTGCGGCGGGCCCGTCTCCTTTTTCCGTCTCTTCCTAGGTTGTGAATTGGACGCCGTCGAGGTGGCCGAAGGTGTCTTGCTCATCGCCGGCGCGAGGGACGCGAGGGGAAGCTGCAGCGTTGCCTGCGCTGAAGGTGGAGCTGCTGTTGGTGGTGGTTGTACATCGGGGACGTCGGGTACGTCGGGAGCTGAGGGCGAGGAGGAGACGGCAGCCCACGTTGGCGCCGTTGCTGTTTCTGGCGGTGGGACAGGCGCCGGCTTACCCCACATCGCAGACAGCGATGCCTGCCCCTGCGCCTGCGCCTTGCTGCTCCCAGCTCCGTTCGCCGTACCGGCGTCTGGCTGCTCTGTCGACATTCGGCTTGTTGTTCAGAGCAGCATGTGTGTTGTGTCGTGTTTGTGTTGCTTAGGGGCCGCTGATCGTTCGGAGGCTGGGAGTGAGATTACAGGGCGCAGCGCAGACGAAGGGAGGGGCGAAAGTGGAGGTTGCATTCAAAGTCAAGACGCGTCAACGGGGCTGAGCTCATATGACGCGTCAACTGGTCACGTGAGCCCTCCCTGCGGTGTGTGGACCTCACGTTAAACCACTAAAAGATGCATATGCTGATGAATGCTTAATGCTTTTGATTACTACTGAATGTCTACTACTACCCCTGGAGGCTGCTCGCGACTCGCTGCGCTCGTCGCTCGCTTAGGCCTCAAAGTACTTGTCCATAGCGGCCTTGCGCATCTTCTGCTCTGGGGCGGCCTTGCCTGTCCACAGCGTGAACTGGCGGAAGCCCTGCAGACAGAGAATCTCAATGCCAGTGACAGGAGTCCAGTTGGCGGCCTCGGCAGCCTCGAGCAGCGCCGTCTTGTACGGCTTGTACGCCATGTCGATGGCAACACCGTTCGGGTGCTGCATGAGCGAGGGCGGGAGCACAATACCCTCGCCGGGCGTCATGGAGAGGGACGCACCCGGCACAGTGGAGACGATGACAGCCGGCTGAGCGGGGAGCTTGTCGAGCGACGTCACGACCTCGATGTTGTACTCCTTGGGGAAGGAGGCGGCGACCTTGTCGGCGTTCTCGCGCGTGCGGTTGAAGAGCAGGATGCGAGCAGCGCCGAGCTTGTGCATAGCGTAGATCGCCGCGCGGCACGTGCCGCCCGCACCGATAACGAGGGTCGTGAGCTCGCCCGAGGGAGTGAGGTTGCGGAGAGCTGCCTCGTGGATAGCAGCCCAGTCCGTGTTGTCACCGTGCAGCTCGCGGCCCTTGGCACCCTGGCGAACAATGACCGTGTTCACGGCACCAATGACCTTGGCGTGCTCACTGACGGCAGACAGCTCTTGCATGATCTCGAGCTTGAGCGGGATCGTCACGCTGGCGCCGCCAAAGGCCTCATCGGCAAGGACACGGCGGACGGTCGCGTTGACCTCGGACGCCTCGCAGCGGTCGTAGTGGTGCGGGAAGCCAAGGGCCTGGAAGCCAGTGTTGTGCAGCGTCGGCGAAACCGAGGCAGCGATAGGCGAACCGAAGAGGAAGAACTTCTTGGGCTGGCACAGGCCGACAAGCGTGCGAGCCTCCATGACCTCCTTGGCCGTGAGCTGACCGGGAGCAGCGCGCGACGGCATATCGGCATGAGTGACCGGTGTCAGAACAGGGTTCAGAACACGCGAAAGCTGGCCGACGGCGCCCATGTTGATGGCGAGCAGCGGCTTGGCGGTGGGGTCCTCCTTTTTGCGCTCAGCGAAGAGAGCAAGCTGAGCATTGTCCGCCGTGGACGTCGCAGTGCCCACAATCTTGACAATGTCGCCGAGCTTGGAGCCCTCGGCGTACTTGCCCGCAACCTCAGGGCCATCCCACTTCATGTTGCTCGTCCAGTCGTGCCACGAGGCAATGAGCGCGGTCTCGCGCTTGGCGGCGTGGATCGCGGCGAGAACGTCTCCCGGCCACGCGAGCTCGACATCGACATACTCGGCGGCGCTGCGCAGACCAAGCTTGACAAGCGCAGCGTAACCGGCAACGTCGTCCGAAGGAGCCCAGCCGCCCTGGTTCTTCGAGCGGACCGAGAAGACAACGGGGAGGTTGGACGCCATGCGGAGAGAGGCGAGCTGCTTTGAAACGTACGACGCAGGAGGGAGCTTTGGGGTCAAGGGAGCCTGACCGTCGGGCGACAGGAGGTCGACGCGGAGCTCGATGGCGTCGGCACCCTCAGTAAGCGTCGACAGGTTGGCAAGAGCGGGAGTGATATCCGGGAAGGTGAGCGAGAGGAAGGCGGTCGGCTGGGCGTTGGGACCCGAGACGATCGGACGGTTCGCGTTGCGGCCAGTGACAAAGTTGAAGAAGCGCTCGCACTCGGCACGCATGGCGCGGTGGTGGTCCTTCTCCGACTGCGAGGCGATCGGCTCGAGGATGTTGATGAACTCGTGGCTCGAGCACTGCTCGTACCACGGCTCACGGCGGCGGTAGACATCGGCAAAGTCCTCGCCCCACTTGGGACGCTGGGCGGTTCCGCCAATGTTGTCGAGGAACGCCTCGAGGTCCTCGAGGTCGCGGTGAATGTGGACGACAACACCGCCGTCGGCGACGTAAGCCGCAAGCATCTTGCGCGCCTCCTCAGTCTCGACGATGCCGCCGCCAAGCGAGATGACGTGGCTGCCAGACTTCTCCTTGAGGAAGGAGGCAAGAATCTTGGTCTCGGTCTCGCGGAACGCCGGCCAGCCGTTCTGGGCGACAAAGTCGGACACCTTCATGCCGGCCTGCTGGACAAAGACCTCGTCGGCATCGACGTGCTCGGAACCAAGGACCTCGGCAGCGAGCGAACCGATGTACGACTTGCCAGCACCACGCATACCGATGAGGAGGACGGGGGTGTCACGGACACCGCTGGTGCCCGAGGTGGACGCCTGCCTGCTCTGGTCGAGCTCAACACCGTCAAACTCGACGCCAATCTTGTTCTGGAGGTCGTCCCAGAAGTTGGGCCAAGTCTTCTCGACGCAGCGCTTCTCCTCCAGCACGGTCTCGGGAACAACAGTGGCAAGGACAGCGTGAGCCATGGCGACACGGTGGTCGTCGTAGGTGTGAACCTGGACACCCTTCTTCAGCTGATTGTAAGGCTTGCCGAAGACAATGATGCCGTCGTCAAACTCGTCAGTCTCGACGCCAAACTTGGCGAGCTCGTCGCGCATAGCCTTGATACGGTTGCACTCCTTGACACGCTGGTTGGCGATGCCGTAGATGCGGGAGGCGTTGGGGCCAAGGCCCTGCACCTCGCGGCCGGGCAGGCACGGCTTAGTAGCGACGGCGGCGAGAACAGCGGCAGTCAGGAAAGCGTCGGTCATGGGCTCCATGTCGACGTTGCCGAGAGCGCGCAGCTCGCCGATGGGAGGGCCAGTGACGGTGGTCGAAGTGGCAGTCTGCTCAACGGTGCAGCCCATGGGCTCGAGAACGTCCTTGGCGAAGCGAGCGTCTCCCTGGAGAGAGCTGGAGCCAATGTTGGAAATCGTGCAGGTAGTGCCGGTGATAGCAGCAATGGCCAGGGGGTAAGTGGCGCTCGAGGCGTCCGACTCGATGTTGTACTCGGCGGGGTTCTTGTAGGTCGTCTTGGGGATAACATAGACGTCGAGGAGCTTGCCGTTGGCGTCCTTCTGGCGCTCGACCTGGACACCGAACTGGGCCATCATGGCGATGGTCATGTCGATGTAGAGCTGCGAGATAACCTGGCCACCGATGAGCTCGAGGGTGATCTGCTCACGAGCGTAGGGGGCGCAGAGGAGGATTGACGAGACGTACTGGCTGGACACAGTGGCGGCGAGCTTGATGTGTCCGCCGGCGAGGCCATCGGCACCAATGTCGAGGGGCAGGCAACCCTGACCCTCAAGGTACTCAATCTGGGCGCCGTCCTCGCGCAGAGCGTCCACGAGAGGTCCGATGGGACGCTGCTTCATGCGCGCGTTGCCAGTGATCTTGGTGGACTTGGCGTCGGCAGTGGGCTGCACGATGGTACAGACGGTGGTGAGGAAGCGAGCAGCGGTACCGGCATTGCCCAGGTAAAGCTCCTTGCCCTTGGGGGGAGGGGTGAGCTTGCCCTCACCACCTTCCACAACGATGGTCTCGCCTCCGTCCTCCCACGAGAAGACGGCACCCTTGAGCTCGGCGAGAGCGTTCATCATGACCGCAGTGTCGTCCGAGTGAAGAAGGTTACGAATACGGCAGGTGCCCTTACCGAGGGCCGCGAGGACGAGAGCGCGGTTGGAGATGGACTTGGAACCGGGGGTCGACATGACGACAGGCGACTTCTTTGGAACGCCAGAAATGACCGTGGCAGACTCGCAGAGGACCTTGCGGATGACCTCGTCGGCCACAACGGTGGCCTTCTCCTCGTAAGTCTTACCGATGCGGTCGAGGAGAACGATCTTCTTGGCGGGGCCCGAGTTCTTCTTGTCAATCCTCATAATGTCAAGGAGACGGTCGACGCCGAGCTGGGAAGCAGCAGGAAGAGAGGCAATGCGGCGGTCGGACATGGAGACCGGGAGGTTGTATGCCGAAAGGCAGCGGGTAAGGCGGCCAACGGCAACCTGGGAGAGAATGCCGAGCTGGCGAGCGACCTCGGCCTCCAAGATCATACCGATCGAAACGCACTCGCCGTGGAGGATGGTGGGGGTTAGGACAGCCTCGATAGCGTGGCCGATAGTGTGACCAAAGTTGACGAGGTTGCGGAGGCCAGTCTCACGCTCGTCGATCGTGACAATGTGAGCCTTGACGTAGATTGAGCCGGTGACAACCTGGAGCAGGAGCGACTGAGGGACGGAGCGGTCCTTCTCGAAGCGGCCAGCCTGGCCCTCGGCCTTGGTCGAGATGGCAGAGGTGATCTCGGCGGCGCGGGACTCCAGGGAGGCAAAGTCGTCGGCCTTCCAGATAGCAGCAGTCTTGACAACCTCGGCCATACCGTTCGAGAACTCGCGCATGGGGAGGGTCGACAGGAACGACAGGTCAACGAAGATGTAGCTCGGCTGCCAGAACGCTCCGATGAGGTTCTTTCCGTGAGGGGTGTCAATAGCGGTCTTTCCACCGACGGCAGAGTCGACCATGGCGAGGAGGGTCGTCGGGATCTGGACGAACTTGACGCCACGCATGCTGCTTGTTAGTTTCCGGACAACTAAGGTTGCTTACAAGGTGGCAGCAACGAAGCCGGTCAGGTCACCAATGACACCACCACCAAAGGCGAGGATGACGGTGTCACGGGTGCACTTCTCGCTGAGGAGCCAGTCCTCGATCTCAGCCTTGACAGCGCGAGACTTGGCTCCCTCACCAGGAGCGACCTGGTGGACGAGGAAGCGCGCCTTGGAGCCGGTGTCCTTGGCGGCCTTTGCGAAAGCCTCCTCCAGCTGGGGGAGGTAGAGCTTTGCAAGGTTGGTGTCGGTGATGAGGGCATAGGTGGTGGAGGGAAGGGTGGTGAGGACGGTGTGGAAGATGTAGTCGACGAGGTGGAAACCGGCGTGGATCGACTCGTTTCCGAGGATGGAGATCTTGAGGACGTCTGCGAGGTCGGACATGGTGGGCCGCAACCTCTTGTTGTCGCACCTGTGAAGGGCGTCAAACGTCGGGGTGTAGAAAGAGGATGGGGAGGGGGAAGGGTGAGAGGACAAAGAGAGGAAGGAAGGAAGGAAGGCGGACTGTTAGTTGCGCGCGCGCGGGCAAGCAAGCGAGCCAGCCAGCCGGCGCGGCTGAGTATGTCGGGTTTTTCTGATTGCCTGTGTCCGAGTCGTAATCAGCGGACAGTGGAGGGCGGTCACTGATTGGGGGGGGCACGTGGGATGCCGCACACAGCCGCACCTAATGGGATGTTTAATGGGCTGGTGAGTCTGCTAATCTCATTAGAAACAGGCTAATGAGGGGTGCACGTTGGATTGTGGATTGACTGGGATTGGGCGAGAGCGGGACTGGGGGGACTGGCGTCGGCGGCGTCGGCGGAAGCAAAGCTGGGATATGAGACGGTGGAGATTCCTCGGTGTCAGGGCGCAGGGGAAGAACAGGGAGAGGCGCGGTGCGCGCGCGTCTCAGACCCCTCGGCCCCTCGCCCTCTGGCGGCTGTCGCAGGCAAAGCAGGATAGGCTTTTGGGCCAGAACCCAAGATGGCCCAAGGTCCCGATGAACGGCAGCTGAAGCATCGGGAGGCGTCGACAGCCAGCGGACAGGACAGCGAGCCCTGCCAGCCCTGCCCTGGGCGTTAGTGGGGCAATGTACAAACCACTAGCGCCAGCGTACGTGACCTTGGCATACGGCCACACAGCCAGCTCAGCCAGCACAGCCAGCACTCGCGGCCACCGTCCAAAGTTGGGCCACCGACGCTCACCCATCCTCCCCGTCCTTTGCCTCACCCTCTTCCACCCCCCGCTTCATCTTTCACACACTCTGACTAGAACCAACGTCTCGATCACATCGCCCAATCCAGCTCATCCGCAACCATGCCGATGAGGAAATTCTCCCTCTCGCGCAAATCGTCTTCAAACGATATCCGCGGAGTCCGTGGAGACACACCTCCCGTCTCCCGATCCACCGGCGCCGCAGCCGCAGCCGCCGCCGCAGCAGCCTCCGCCCACGCATCGACTAACGGTGACGCCGACAGCGCCCAAGGATCTGGTAGTATCAGCAAGGGCTCCAATAGGCGCAACAGCCTCTTCGGGTGGGTTTTTTGTTATTGTTTAGCTCACCGGCTCCATCGCTGACCTCTTCTTGCAGCTCCAAGTCAAAACGCCGTCTGTCATCGCTGTTCAACAATCACCGTGACAAGGATGAGACAGCCCCCGTCCCGCCCATCCCGGCCAAGTATGCGTCTTCGGGAACGGCGACCCCGTCAAAGGAGGTGTCTGGCGTCGATGTCGACCAGAGCAAAACGCTCCCCGCTGTGCCGAACGAGGCCGTGAATGCTCAGCTGGCCAACCTGGGCATTGGAGGGCCTGCATCGGTCGCATCGACTGGACCGCGAGCGCCCTCTGTATCCAGTGTGCCTGCCTCAACGTCTGCGTCCATGACTGCGCCCGCACCCGCGACGCCTACGAAGGCATCCCAGATTTCGGCCCCGAACGGATCGGCAGTTGGGACGAACGGTCCCGTGGACACGACCCCGGTGCGGGCATCCGCCGCGGCTGTCGAAAACGGCTCTCCTGCTGCGTCGGTTGCGCCCTCGATGACCCGGTCGGTCAGCATGTACTCGCAGTGGGGCGACGAGGACGAGAGCTCGGACGAGGACGACGCGTTCTGGGCCACTCCCGACGAGGGTTTGTCCGAGGTCGAGGAGGAAGATGAGGACGAGGTCAACGCGATTGAACGGAATGCCGCGACTAACGGCGTCGCCGCTACCCCTGTTAATGGCGTTTCGACCTCCAAGCCCCCGACTGTCAATGGAGCGCCGACGACCAGCCGGAAAGCATCGACTGCGAGCATGACCTCGCTCGGCATCCCGAAGCTGCGCCGCTACCAGGCGACTGGCGCCAAGGTGAACCCGCCCAAGATGGAGTACGGCAATCCGAAGGATGTCGACCAGGCAGCCTGTCTCGCTCCGGACCTCGACACCTGTCGCGAAGCGCTCAGCCTCTTCCTGTCGTCCAAGATGAAGGAGGCGGAGAACCTGCTCGCGGAGAAGGACCCGAAGAACAACCACCTGTACCTGCAAAGCGGACACGGGCTGATCCAGAGTCTGAAGGGTCTGATGACATTTGACAGTGTCGACCTCAACGCGGCGCTCGACATCACCAAGGCGACGGCGCACACGGCGACGATGCTGCGTCCGCCAACGGGCGGCGTCTTCTCCAAGATTGGCGGCCTCGTGTCGCACGGCCAGGCGCTCGCGCGCGTGCGCCAGATGACGCCGCTGGAGCGCCACGCCGAACTGACGTACGCCGAGACGATTCTCGTCAAGGCGCAGCTCGCGATCGTTGCGGGCGGAGACTGGGTCGGCCTCATCCGTGAGGCGCTCAACATGCGCTCCGCGCACGGCATCTACCGCACCCTCCAGATGTACCTGGACGAGGCGGACAAGAACGGTTTCGACGAGGACATTGACATGGACTTCCGCTCGGGCGTGCTCCTCGGCACGGGCACGAGTTCGCTCATGCTCTCCCTGCTGCCGGGCAAGGTGCTCAAGATCGCCGAGGTGTTCGGCTACGCCGGAGACCGCAAGGTCGCCCTCGAGACGCTGATGGCTGCGGGTGGGTGGAGTGTCGATTCGCCGACGCCGGCATACGACGAGACGAACGAGGGTATCCGCCGGCCAATTTGCGACATGATCCTGCTCACGTTCCACCTGGTCATCAGCGTGCTCATGCCTGTTGCGGGCGTCGACATCCCCACGGCGCGCAAGATTCTCGCCTACAACATGCGCCGTTACCCCGACGGCATCTTCTTCCTCTACTTCCAGGCGCGCCTGCACACGAATGAGTGCGAGCCCGAGCTCGCAAACGCGTCGCTCCAGCGCGCCCTCGACCTCGAGCTCGAGTACGTCCAGCTCCAGCACATGTGCCTGTGGGACTATGGGTGCAACTACTTCCAGCTCAACGACTGGCAGGGCTCGTACCAGTGCTTCGAGATCCTGCGCAAGGAGTCCAACTGGTCCCGCGCCGTGTACACGTACGCGACGGCCGTGAACGTCATGGAGCTCATCGACGACCCGTCCGTGCCCGAGGCGACGCAGGAGCACGCGTACCAGCTCGTCCTGCAGCTGCCGAAGCTCGCCAAGAAGATTGCAGGCAAGTCGCTCCCCATCGAGAAACTGTGCAACCGCAAAGCACGCAAGTACGTGTCGCAGGGCAAGCGGCTCTTCCTCCCCGCCATGGAGCTGGGGTACGTGTTCGGCTCGCTTGGCGCAACGCCCCGCCGCCTGCTGCTGTCCAAGTGGCTGCCGCGGATCAACGCGGAACTCGCTGCACTCGAGGCCTCGACGCCCGAGACATGGGGCAACGGAACAGGATACTGGGACGACTATGCTCTCGGCCACTTCCTGCGCGCGCTCGTGCAGAGCCACGCGTGCTACCAGCCCAAGGACGCGAGCGAGAATGCGCGCCAGCGTCTCCCCGGCCAGCCGACGGACGCGGAGCTCGACGCCGGCGCCGAGCGCGACTTTAGGGCTGTCATCGAGAACGCGCCCAAGGTCGAGCTCGACCACTACATCCTCTTCCACAACCATTACGAGTTTGGCCGCTTCTTCGCCCGCCGCGGAGATACCGCCAACGCCAAGGCGCAGTTTGACATTGTCGCCTCGGGCAAGCTGCCCGTCCCCAACCCCCACATTGGCAAGGGCAAGTACTCCCTCGAGGGCGCGCTTCAGCTCAAGAATCACGCGGCCGCCCAGGCTCTCACGTCCAAGGACGGATCGGACCTGTAACCGCCTTATGCGTGTTTGTCCCTCAACTGCAGAAGGCAGTGAGGCAGATGAGCATATGCCTCAGCGCGGCATCAAAAGTAGGCGCAGTGTGAACTCGCGCAACACAGTCGCGGAGGGGAGCCCGCCGCACGCCATGCGCGACATGGCGAGCAAGCGCGGCCATTGTTCTATTCGTTCGCGGCGGAGTTCCGCTGGAACAAGCGGATGCAACTAGGTGCAGCGCAGTAGAACCCCCGCCCCCGCAAACGAACCCCAACCACGACCATCAATAATAACCTATAGAGAGTACAATCATTGGCCAACGATCTTATAAACCATGGGAGACTCCGGTCTATCGCATATGCATATACCCCACCTGACATGAGCGAATTTGGGTGATAATCACGCAGAGAGCACAGATCGATGCTAACCAGCGGGATATGGGATGATGACGAGGACAGGTGGTAATGGTCACCGATGACGCCGAGTGTGTGCCACGAATAGCCAGGGAGTCGGGCTACGTCTGGGCAAAAGTGTGAAATTTTGACTCGTGGTTGGTCAGGGTTAGTGGCCAAAGCGCAAGGACCCTTGTTGGCCTGTTGGGAATCGTAATGCACGGTCTATATCGTCATTTGCCCAGGTGTAAAGGAAGATTCTGATCCCGCTAATCAGAATCCATGGAAGGACTCAGGGCTAAGCTAGGCTGGCTGGCTGGGGGTTATGTGCCATGAGCCAGGCCCAAGAGGCCCGCACGTCGACCGCCACCGCTGCGCCGCTGCCCGCAGGGCCATGGGCCACACCCGACATCCACCCGAGTGAGCAGTGTGGGCTGGCTGCGCTGGGGGAGTCAGCCAAAATCACCGGCGACCTCGCTTTCGCTTTCTTTCTCCCATACCACCTCTCTTACCTCAAGACACCTGGTATCCGTGTTACGCATTCGCGTAGGGCTCCAACTGCCCCGCCGTCGTCTCTACCCTCTCTCGCGTCGCTCGTGGTCTCCTCCCCCCCACGGCACCCTGACTGTGAGTACTACTAGTTGCTTTCAAAAATCCCTCGCTGGAAAACACTCCGGAAACGACCACACGACCAACAATCTGCTTGCCACCTCGTGCTACCCGATCTCTCCTCGTCTCATCTGTTCATCTCAAGTTCATTCCGAGGACATGACCGGTTCATCTCGGCTTCATCCTATATGAACGACGCTAGCGACTTCCAACCACATTATTCCCTCATAGACACTGACTCCCAACACAGGTGGCCTGATCTCCTCTGTTGAGACGGCGGCCGACCCGATAATAAGCTCGTCCTAGACAGCTTGGATAATACTTTGCTCCTTCGTCTGGTTCAACTCCGGAAGGCTACATAAACGACTCCCCTCAAAAACAGTCTGAACCCCCCCCCCCCTCCCATTAGAGGGGCGGCGGCGCCCTGTGAGCCCTGGGCCATCCCGGCATCAGAGTGGAGGTCTCGTCAAGAATGAGCACCACTCTGACCGAGATTGTCCGCCAGGCTCCTCGCCAGGTGGGCGTCGTTCGCGCCCAGGCTTGGGAGGACGCGCGCCCCGCGTCGGCGCCCACTGCGCCTGTGGCTCAGCTCAGCCGCGCCCTCAACGACGGCGCCGAGGGCGGCCGCCTCCCTGCGCCTCCCCTCGTGCTGCGCCCGCGCCCCGCCGTCCACCCCGCGCTCACCGCCGAGGTCCACGACGCGGACGTGCACGCCCTCGTCGACGCCGTCGTCGAGGCCCGCATGAACGGCGGCATGGAGGACGAGTCGGCCTTCTTCGCTGGCGACCTGTCTGCGGTCTATGACGCTGTCGCGCAGTGGCGTGCGTCGCCCATTGGCTCCCGCGTCGAGATCTTCTACGCGGTCAAGTGCAACCCGTCCCCGATGGTGCTGCACCTGCTCTCCCTCCTGGGCGTGAACTTTGACTGCGCCTCGTCGTCTGAGATCAACCACGTCCTCTCGCTTCCCGCCCAGCCCTCGCCGGACCGCATCATCTTTGCGAACCCGTGCAAGCCCGCTTCGTTTGTGCGCAAGGCGGCCCAGGTCGGCGTGGACATGATGACCTTTGACAACGCCGACGAGCTGCACAAGGTCAAGGCGCTGCACCCGGGTGCCAAGCTCGTGCTGCGCATCCTGACGGACGACTCGAAGTCGCTCTGCCGCCTCGGGCTTAAGTTTGGCGCGCCCCTGGACGTTTGCCCCTCCCTCCTGAAGACGGCGAAGGAGCTGGGCCTCGACGTCGTCGGCGTCTCCTTCCACGTCGGCTCGGGATGCAAGGACCCCGAGCAGTTTGCCGATGCGATCTGGCGCGCGCGCCGTGCGTTCGACATGGCCGCCGAGGCCGGGTTCGACCTCAAGCTGCTCGACATTGGCGGCGGGTTTGAGCGCGAGACCTTTGCGCAGATGTCCCGCGTCATCAGCGACAACCTCGACATGTACTTCCCCGCGTCCGAGGGCGTGCGCGTCATTGCCGAGCCGGGGCGCTTCCTCGTCTCGTCGGCCTTCACGCTGGCGACCAACGTGATTGCGCGAAGGAAGAATGCAGAGGCCGCCCAGGCCGAGATCGAGGACATCCCTGCTGGCGCCGAGGGCGAGGGCTCCGCCGACGTCATGTACTACATCAACGACGGCGTGTACGGCTCCTTCAACTGCATCCTGTTCGACCACCAGATCGTCCACCCCTACCCCCTGACCGTCTCTGGGGCTCATGCAGCCGGCCGCCCCGCATTCCCGCCCCCGCCAAACGTCGAGCTCGAGAAGGACCTGACGCTCCAGCTCGGCTACCGCCAGACCCAAAGGGCGTCCGTCTGGGGCCCGACCTGCGACAGCATCGACTGCGTCCGTGCCGTCGTGTCCCTGCCTCCGCTCGAGGTGGGCGACTGGCTCGGATGGGCCGAGATGGGCGCGTACACCCTCTGCGCGGCTAGCACGTTCAACGGATTCGACCGCTCCCCTGTTCACTGGACCACGGGCGGAGAGTCTAAGAACGCGCAGGTCGTCCGTGAGGTCCTTGGCAAGTTCAAGCAGCAGTAGGCCGGACTCGGTGTTGTTGTGCTAGGGACAGACTCCTAGATTTTAGTTCATCAAGTATAGAAATGTACGAGGATAGATTAGCCGGCGGCGAGCGGCGAGCGGCGAGCGGAGCGAGCAGAGCGAGCAGAGTTCACTAACCAGCATACATAACGACTCAAGCACTCGTCCATCGAGCAGCTAGCAGCGTTGCGGAAGGCGAGCAATGACGATCAGTCCCAGATGCGCCAATGGTGGAGGACCAGAAAGAACCCTAAAAGCGGGGGCTATGACGTACCATCCCGCTGCTCACAGCTGGTCGCGTCCCATTCTGTGGCAAGGCACCCATTGCACCCCTTGCACCCATTGCACCCATGCGCACCCACTGCAATGATCCGCGTCTGTTTGCGTGCTCTGCCTCCTCGGCGCGTCAGCGCCGCTCCCGGTGGCCACTTGAATCCGGATCGGAGCGACCCCCCCCCCTTCCCAACTCCCAACAATCTAACTTCTTTTCTCTCTCTCTCTAGTTTATCGCCACTCATCACAGTCATCGATAAGACATAGAGTATTGACGATATGAGCGCAGCTACCAACAACGCCATCTCGAAGCCTGGCGCGGCCGTGCCGAACCCCGGCGGCCCCGGCGGCGAAGACCTTACGCCCGTCGCCGTGTCGCCTGCTGGCACGCTCGGCAGCAGTGGGCCCGAAGTGCCCGGCTCTGCTGCCGGCGTTTCTACGGGAAGCAGCGGCGGGGAGGGACTCCTGCAGAGGGCGCAGGCTATGGCTCAGCCTGTAAGTACCCACTCCCTCCATCCTCATTGAGTTACCAACTGCAGCTGGGAGCTGGCACGCTCGCTCGCTCGCTCCGCTCGCTCGCTCGCTCCGCTCGCACGTTCCGCGCTCCTCGCCGCTGCGCGGCTCGAAGGCTGACAGCAGTACCTTGACAAAGCGGCAGCCACGGCCAAGCCCTACGCCGACGCCGCGATGCAGAAGGGGCGCGAGCTCAAGGACAGCATCGAGGTGGGTCCCCCCTTCTCCCTCATGAGATATCCAGACGCAAAGGTTTCTCGTGTCGGGCTTCGGCTGGAGACAGAAAGACTGCAACTGAGTACAGTAAAAGGGCAGTGTAGACTAACTCCCAGGGCAAGCACGATGCCACGGCCACCCCCGCTGCTGCTCCGGGCGAGCACCACGCCACCACGGGAACTGGTGCCGCGCACAGCGAGGGCCTCGCTGCCACCGCGGGCCAGACGGCGCAGGATCTCGGCGAGAAGGCCAAGTCGGCCCTTGGCTATGGCCTTGTGAGTCTATCCTCCCTTTCCCCCCTCACCCCCGCACTCGCCCTCATCCCCGTGCGGATACGACCGCACTCGCTCACTCGCTCACTCACCCCGCCACTCGCGCTCCCTCGCCTCGCTTCGCTCGCTCGCGCTAACACCCAGGCTCAGCTCCAAGCGCTAGGCAAGCAGATCGACGACCGCACAGCCACAGCCGACCAGCCCGGGCTGCTTACGCGTGCATCGGCCGCGTACCACTCTGGCGTCGAGCAGCTCGAGAAGGCTGTCGGCGCCAAGGATCACGCGGGGAGCACGGCCAACCTGACCACTGCCGAGGAGGGGAGCGCGCCCATTGCGGGAAGCCTGAATGACGGCCCGCACCCTATCACGACGACGACGAATGCGATCCCGCACGCTGAGAGTGCGGCCCAGACGCAGAAGACGGAGGAAGGGGAAAGGGCCAAGACAGGCGAGAGCGTCACGGCGCCGCCTGAGGCTTGAGTATTACTGGGTTCTGTTTTTGTTGTGTTCGGTTTGATGTCTTTCTTGCTTCTTGTTGTGCTCGTGGAGCGAATGATTGGAGACCGGGGGAGGTGATGGGAAGACTAACGAACGGACTGATAGCGCCACACCGTTTGACTGGTTGGATCCATGGCTGCGGCTGTCTGAGTGCACACGGTCTGTGCGAGTGACGCCCAAAGAACTGGATGAACTTAGCCTGGTTTATAGTTGAGTTCAAGTCTCGGCCAGCGCCACCGGCCGCCCTCCCGACGCCGAAGACCGACAGTCTCATGCCAAGACCTCGGCTGGCACCGCACCAGCCATACCAGCCACGCTGATCACAGGGCCCGTGTCGTATCCGGGGCCCGAGGCCCCGGCTTCATCATCACTTCTGCGCCTTCACGACGTTAGCTTCTGTTCAACAAGCCTAGCGGCACGGTACATGTGCGCAGGCGTACAAACAATCGCAACTGGACAGGCGTTCCGCGCCGATCGTCAGTGTGTGCGCCGTGCGGGGCCCAGAACGGTGGTACGAGCGCGTGGCTGATAATCAGGCTGTGTTCGTGCCCGTGCTCGTCGGTTGTGTCAGCAAATCTCTGTAAGATGAAGAGAAGGGGACTGCGTGTCCCGCCCAGTTCAGTGGCATCTGCCGCCTCGATGCTGGCGCGGCCGAAGCTGTCGAAGGCACTGCAAAGCATCACTCGCGCTGCTTCCGGCTTCGGCGGCTATTGCCTTTGATTTCAGAGGCCGGAGTCGCCTTCTGTGGATCTCGCATTGTTCGATGCCCATTCCATATGGGGCAACGGCGCGGCACTCGCACGATTGCATCGCGGTGGACCACCACATTTTCTCGTTGCCACATCATCGCAACACAGGACATGGTAGATATTGAGCCAATGGATACTGTCGCTCCAACTAGAGATCTCTCCTGCTTGCCATCTCCGTCCGCCGCAGCATCGCTGTTAAGAGGTGACTCACCCCGCAGCACCAGAGCGCAATGCTCCTCCGCTCTATGACGCTCAGGTCCCAGCTTCCATTCCGCAGCGAGAGAGTGGAGTAGTCTGCAGACTGGGCACTGCCTCTGTGCGGCGTTTCGGGATTAGAGGGGCGGCGGCGCCCTGTGAGCCCTGGGCCATCCCGGCATCAGAGTGGAGGTTGTAGGCGAGCCGGTTATCATTCTGCTCCCGCGTGCTGGAGCGCGTTTCGCGTCAAGCAACTCTCCTATAGGAGCAGCTTGACCCGGCGGGCGAGATGCTGGAGCTGGCTGGCATGTCGCTGACACGGCGCCGAGCATGCGGAGGTCGGCGGCGTCTTGTGCACTATGTAATCGTTGCCGCCACTCTGCAAGATGTGACCGTGCACAAACCACACCTCACGTGAGCTTACGGGGGGACTCGAGCTAGCGAATTCGCTGCAGCCGTGTGCATCGCGCCAGTGCCATGTCGGACGGGAGGCGATTAGGGCATTAGGGACGGCACTACTTGGCCCTTTAGGAATGTCGCAAGTCCGATTAGAAAATGGATCTGGGAGTAATTACAAAGCAGATAGCGTCAAATGAAATACTTCCCCCCCTCGTCCGCCCGTGTGTGCCGTGTGGTGTGTTGGAACACGACGACAGGCGGCTGCCCCTATCGCCCGCTCACCGTACGCTCACTCTCCCTCGCCATTTGTCAATTTGCAACAACACCCCACCATCATCTTTTATCTTCTCCATTACATTCACCATCATCCATCCCTGCACATCCCTCAAGCTTGCTCCCCACGCTTGACCCCCGCCCCGACTCTCACCCTCCCCCGTCCCGCTCCGCCCACCGACACCGCAGTCGTCAGCGAGCAACAAGGACGCGCCAACCCCTCCAAACACCCTTCCATCCCGCTCGGCTACCCCAGGATCGGCACCGGCGCTCTTCCTGCTCCAGCCCTCCCTCTCGCCGTCGCACGCGCAGTCCTCATCCCCGGCTGCATCTGCACAACGTAGCTGGTCGACTGCCAGATTCGCTCCGACACACAGAGTCCTGTTAGTTTCCTTATTCCCTGGTCTACCCGCCCCCCGAATCTACCCCCCACCACCGGCCGACATCACACAACCTCGCACAACCCCTGGTCTCCGCGGGCACATCGCTCCGCTGGTTGCGAGTCGTCCTCGCGCATGGCGCTAACCTGTCGCTTGCTATGGCTACTCTGAGCACGTCTAGTGCGGCGCGCAGACCCTCGCACGCCGTCTGCCGCGGACAAAATTGCATGCGCGGAAGGATGCACCGCCCAGCCGCGTCCCAGCAGTGTTGTGTCATGCTCGGACGCACACGCCCCGCTTCTTCCACCATCCCCCCATCCCTCAGACACAAACCACGCTGTTTTGTCCGTCAAACATGCTGACTAGCCCAGAACTGGTTAATTCCCCCCCTTATCCCTCATCTTAAACATGGCCGACGCCGCCAACGACATTGACCTTGATTCGGTCATCGACCGACTTCTCGAGGGTACGTTTTGACTAATGCATGGCCACCGACTACTGCCGCGGTCGGCCGAAAAACTGCCCCAGTGGCCGACGGCGAACAGACAGATGCTGACTCGCGATCCAGTACGCGGAAACCGCCCCGGCAAGGCTGTCCAGCTCCAGGAGTACGAGATCAAGCACCTTTGCACGAAGGCTCGCGAGATCTTTATCAGCCAGCCTATCCTTCTCGAGCTTGAGGCGCCCATCAAGATTTGCGGTGAGTAGGCAGAAACGAGTGTTTGCGGGCTCGATCGATCGTGTGCACGCGCACTTCCCAGAGTTTAGTCATTCGTGCTTTGGAAACTGACCTTTCAGGTGACATCCACGGCCAGTACTACGACCTCCTCCGCCTGTTCGAGTACGGCGGCTTCCCCCCAGAAGCCAACTACCTCTTCCTGGGTGACTACGTCGACCGTGGAAAGCAGTCGCTCGAGACCATCTGTCTCCTCCTCGCGTACAAGATCAAGTACCCCGAGAACTTCTTCATTCTCCGTGGTAACCACGAGTGCGCGTCCATCAACCGTATCTATGGATTCTACGACGAGTGCAAGCGCCGCTATAACATCAAGCTCTGGAAGACGTTCACCGACTGCTTCAACTGTCTCCCCATCGCCGCCATCATTGACGAGAAGATCTTCTGCATGCACGGTGGCCTCAGCCCAGACCTCCAGAGCATGGAGCAGATCAGGCGAGTGATGCGCCCCACCGACGTCCCCGACACTGGTCTCCTCTGCGACCTTCTCTGGTCCGACCCGGACAAGGACATCACTGGATGGAGCGAGAACGACCGAGGAGTGTCATTCACGTTTGGCCCCGACGTTGTGTCGAGATTCCTGCAGAAGCACGACATGGACCTCATCTGTCGTGCGCACCAAGTCGTCGAGGACGGATACGAGTTCTTCGCCAAGAGGCAACTCGTCACCCTCTTCTCTGCCCCTAATTACTGTGGCGAGTTTGACAATGCCGGCGCCATGATGTCGGTCGACGACACCCTGCTGTGCTCGTTCCAGGTGAGTTAATCTGCCATCGGTCTTTGCTAACTCGTGACAGATCCTGAAGCCCGCGGAGAAGAAGGCGCCCAAGTACGGCTACGGCGGTGGACGGCGTCAGTAAGAGTTCGCGCTGAACTCTTGCGGATTGACTATGGACATGCATTTGAGGAGTTAGCTGCGCGGCGCGGGGACGGGACGCAGTACGAGTCGGCGGCGGGGATGCGATTCGCTATACCATCTTCTCTTTTTCTTTTTTCTCGTTTCCTTCTTCAACCTTTCAACCGATTCGCCTTGCTGTGTTCCTCGACCTCTCAAGCCTACTTCCGGCCGACACGGCGAAGTGGCGGATCGAACGATTCCGGTAAAGGCGAAGGTGACGGGGAGGGGAAGGGATCGGCAGGGGAAGGTGGTACGGAGAATAGAGACGACTCGTCACGGACCGACTCTTATCCACCGATTCTCGCGTCTCGAACGTCCCCTCGCTCCTCGCCCCACCTCTCATCTACGCTTTTCCTCTTCTCTTCTCTGATCTCTTTTTTATTATTATTCTCTTCTCCTTTTTTCTCTTTCTCTCTCCTCTCTTCTGAACTTCATCCCCCTACCCCCACCCCAAATTCCATCCCCACCACCCACCTCAACAAGAAGAAGAAAGGATGGCAAAATCGGCATTAGAAAACGTGACGTGTACGAGTGTGACGATGCGAGAGCAATGCTTTGGACGGGTGCTGGACTTTGAGACTTGATCTGGGGACTGGAGATTGGAGATAGGAGAGTGGCCACTCGGGGCGCGAAGGTGGCTAGTGTGGACGAAGACTAACAACTGACGTACAGATTGACTGAGCTAATCACAGGCATGCCACCCTCGGCGCGGAGGTGCTACGAACATGATGCTGACGATCTGAACAGCTTCGAGTCTCGGAGCAAGTTTGCGCCTGGGAGTGTGGGAACGTGGCTTGGGGAGTGAGCAGCGATCAGCGGCCTGACCCGAAGGTACGCGGATAATCGTCATTGACGATCTTGGGCCTTGTGGACGGGCAGAGTATGCCGGGCCGACCTCTACAACAAGACAAGCCCCGCTTTGGTGTGCTGATTGTGTGCTGGGGCAACTGATCGGACAGCGCAAGTGACAAGCAGACACGAACCAGGGCCACAATACTTACGGGCTAGAGCTCCTTCACCCAACCTTGCAATCTAGACTCAGGCTGAGCACAGGTTGAGCATATCTGCATGCACATCTGTGCCGGCCACTTGTCATGAAAGCTGGTCGATAAACGCCATAGTGGCGATCCAACAGTCGACCTCAGTCCTCTCTCACTCAACCGTACTTCACTCACCCAGCCACCAACTCCCTCCTTCCGGTAGCACTTCGACTCAGCTCTCCAGACCACGCGCGCTCGCACGCTCGCACGCTCGCACCCGCCCCGACGCCGCCGCCACCAGCCCTGCCCCCCGGGGGACATCGGTCGCGTGGCCCAATGGCAAGGCGTCTGACTACGACTCGAACGTCCCTCGATAAACGCCATAGTGGCGATCCAACAGTCGACCTCAGTCCTCTCTCACTCAACCGTACTTCACTCACCCAGCCACCAACTCCCTCCTTCCGGTAGCACTTCGACTCAGCTCTCCAGACCACGCGCGCTCGCACGCTCGCACGCTCGCACCCGCCCCGACGCCGCCGCCACCAGCCCTGCCCCCCGGGGGACATAGGTCGCGTGGCCCAATGGCAAGGCGTCTGACTACGACTCGAAGGTTTCCCAGGTCACGACGGGGATTCTTCAAGTAACAATCAGGAGATTGCGGGTTCGATCACCGTCGTGGCCTCTCTGAGCGTCTGCAGGACGTTGCGGTGCTTTTTCATGCATGGAAAATGAGTGAGGAGTGAAGTTTTGAGGAAGAGAGGTGGTGAGAGGTCAGATGGTGGTGGTGTGGTGATGGTGGTGGAGGTGAAGTGGAGGTGGAGTGCCACTCGCCCATGCTGGGTTTCTGGGTCGTTGTTTCGAGCCCACCTTGCGCTGGTCTCCTGTGAGATGGTGAGATAGTCTGTGGCCTAGTGAGGGGTGGGCTCGAGGGAAAGCTGGTAGCGAAACCCAGCTCCTCGCCGACCGAGTCACGGTGATGGTCATGCCTCCAGGCGGACGATGAAGACCAAGCTATCCACCCATTCGCAGACATCTCTGAAGAAGTAACAAAGATGAGCTACAGGATAGGCCCCGTAGCTCTGACTCTGACAGGAACGAGAGCTGAAGTGACAGAGGAGCAGGCTTCCTTCATGGTGTGGCGGACTGAACTACGGCAGACTGTCAACTCATTCACAGGTTTCTGTACTTCTCCATACATCAAGATGGGCGCCAAGTACTGCGCTAGAGACCGCAGCTGGTGAGCTGGCATCAGAGGACTCGGATCAAGCGGCAAGGAGGCAAGTAGGCTGGGTGTGTTTACTGTTTCGCTGGGTAGAGGAGTCCGCCGTTCTTCAAGATCACTTCTGCCGGACAAGTCATCACCTATGGGAGACAGTGAACATCATGCAAACGACAGTCCCGACGTAAGTCTCGCCAGTCTGTATTGCGCCAATGACAGTGATGTGTCTGCGAAGAGTTCAGTAACCGCTCGTGAGCAGGGAGATCTTGCTCGCACGCCCAGAGGCACTGTGGAGCTCCACTGCATGGCTGGGTGATATCCCCATGTCGCCTCCCGGATCGCTCGTCGCTCCCGAGCAGCAAGCGACGGTGCCAGCCGCTATCTCTATGATATCGATGACGTGCGTCATGACATCGACGGGGCGCTGTCGATGGCGCTGAAGCACACCAGTGGTGGTCGCTCGAGTTCATGCCGGCCCACATGTCAAGCGGCTGCAGTCTGACGCCGGCGTTGGTGATGAGTACGTGATGATCATGACGGTGGCGAGGGAAAGAACACTGTCATCCTCTCGAGGCTGGGATACCCGAACTGCTAGCCGTTTTCGTCGCAGTGACCGCCATCTATCGAACGATCGGTGCTCGCATCGAAACAGATGTTTCCCTAGCTCATCCAAACCTCCAAATCTCCAAACCTCCCCTCGAAGGACAGTCGTAGGGTTGATGCGAGCCCCGGCCGATGTCCACATCAACCATCACACTCACAGATAAGCTAACGAACACAACATGCCTCATGTCATCCTCTGCAGCTAGCCGCTCGGTGTCTGCTCGGTTCAGAGGATATCGCGACATGCGCTCGAAAGTTAGTCCAGATCTGATCTCAAGACGTGTACGATAGGAACGGTGAAAGGTGACGCGAGGTGGAGGAACGAGAGTGCGGGGCCTAGCGACCTGACATCTGACGTCTGACGACAGCCTGCAGCCGGTCGGCAGCCAGGCGAGAGAGATATGCGCATCTGAATGCGCACGGTACTCAAGGGGGAATGAGTGGCCAGGCCGGGGCTGTCGGTCGGATCGTGCAAGGTTGAGTGGTGTGCCCGAACAGATGAGATGGCCCGTTACGACGTCACTGACACGGTGCTATGCGAGCTTTCGACGGCTTTCCGTCGGTGCAGAATAGATCTCCCTGGCATGCGGCTTTGCATGCCGGGTCTTGTTTGTGCACCTCTGACGTGCCTGTGCTGCTTGCTTGAAGTGGATCTGGACGCGACAAAGCACTACGCGGGCATGTGCATAGTTACGGGAGCACTGCCTGGTACGAAAGCTGGGCCACGGCCCACCGCGCTCGGCCCAGAACTTAACGGACCCGCCGCGGAATGTCGAAGCCTCCCTCTTAACTCGTGCCAGACACAATGGACCGAGGGGTGCGGAATTGGCCCCCACGATGAGAGGTCACTGGAAAAACACTGCAGTGTACTGATACACGCCCCCATACCGACTGCACGGGACGAGGTACGAGCTGGTTACGAAGGGAGTAAGGAAAGCAAGAGCATTCCAGGCTAACTGATGTTAGTGCGCGACTGATATCAGCAATACTCTGACCGAGAACGACCGGCCAGATGCAGCCCAAGCTCCAGACTCAACGACGCTCCCCCCACGTTAACACAGAGTTAGTGTTAGACAGAACAACCAGATGTCCCGCCCGTCGCAACCAGAGTGCTTCAGCACGAGCACCTCGTAGTGGAGGCTCTCGTCCATGTTAGTAACAACGATAGATAGATTCCAATTGGAACTGTATTCAGGCAACCCTCAAGGTACACACTCGACGACGGGCTAGCGGCCTCACGGAAGAGTCGCCGGATGTCGCAGGTACCAGTGCCGAACTCACCGCGAACGGTCCGTTGAGACGCGGCATGCAGAAGGGGACAGAGGTGGGCACTCTACCTGACAGGCAAGGAAACGTTATCCTCGCCGAGTCCAGACACTCTCGAGAGTGCGGAACGCCCACACAGGTCATCCCGCGCTATGCTGTTCCGACTGAACGGGGATGTAACCCCTTGACATGCTCGATGTACGCCACACAGCAACGAGAAAGTCACCGGCCATGTCAGCCAGCGCCACTTCCTGCTACCCACTACCAACACCCAGTCACGAACGGCGCCTCTTCCCCACGAATCATGCAATGGTGGGCACCAGTGGGTCATCTGTTGCGTATGCAAGCTGCTTGGATGATTGGAGGCCAATCGCACACTTGCAGGTACGTGGGGCGAGACCTTCAAGGAGTGAGCTGTCAAGAGGAGAGCCAGGTACTGCCTTGCCAGGCTCACTGGATATCCGCTCCGGTGACAAATTTGGGATCCGCCATTGGCCTCAGAGTTGCGCTCGCTCAACACTGGACAAGGCCTTACGCGTGCGCTCTGCTCTGCCTGATACTTCTGTACAACCCATATGAGACCCCATCTGAATGCGAAAGTGTGCATTTCGAACGTAGAGCAACGGCGTTTGGATCGCGGCGTATGCATCACCGAGCACGTGCAGAAAGCCGCACACATGCCACATTGATTCAGCTCGCCCGCCCGCGGAGCAGAGATAACCACGCTCCACCCGCCAGACTCGCTTACGCCTGCCACTGATTTTGAGCTCATTGGCCTCTAGATCACGTCGGGCAGCGTTCGACAGCAGGCACTGCAGCGGGCAAGTTCCCGTCGCCAGTGAGGGGGCATGAAGTACGCCGCAGGGCCGTGAGGAACCGGAGTGATCGTCGTGAGAGGGTGGCGGTGTTTGATCAGACGGCAGGTTGAGGAGGATGCCGGCGGCGACTTACTTCTCAGATTGAGTTCACCATTGAGACGTTCACAACTCGCACCCAACGTCAGGTCCCATTGAGCATGTCAGGCGGCGGTCGTCGGTCCAAACACCGATGCTGCAGCTGCCAGCCACGCGTCGCCTGTTCTGACCGACAGTCCGACGAAATGTGAAGATTGCACAAAGTTGAAGTCTGGAACGCGCAGATCTGCAGACGCCTCTCGCCCTTGCTCGGCTCCCGCCGCCTTTGCTTCCCGCACCCAAGTCCCAGACCCACTCAACGGGACGCAGGTCAGTAACGTCAGCACAGCCTGCAGACCGAGACAAAAGATCGACAGGGATCGACGGGGGGCGAAAGGATCGACGAGGTGCGAAGAGCATAGACAACTGAGAGCTAAGAGCACAGCTAGGTCGAACAAAACCACATTACGTACGGTTTCCAGGGGAAGCAAGGGCCAAGTTCCGCGCCGATCACCCCGCAGTTCTGCGCTTCCAGAGTAACCACAGTCTATATTAAGCCGTCGGACAGACTATGCATGCGTTAGTTGACTTGTGCACGTCACATCATCACTTCCGCACCACGCATGCATGCATGCGTCGCATCGTCTCGCGCAGACATTCGCATAATGCGCATTCTGCTAGACGGTAGCGAAGCAGCAAGCCGAGGTGGAGGGTGGAGGGTGGGGGTGGGTGGGGGAGCCTGTTGGTAGAGGGTCTAGAGCGCTCCAGCTGATAAGGCTCGGCCGGACCGGCCGGGTTAGCAGCACACTAGTGAGCAGGCTAGCCAATGAGCCCCGCATGTCAGTCTGATCTGCAGGGCTTAGAACGAGTGATCGATGGCATCGATCGTTACGGGGCCGGCCTGGCCGCACGCTAGTCCTGCCTGACATGAGCTCGGTGCTCGGTGCCATTGGTCAGAGGCTGGAGGCCCGCCGTGCTGTTGAGTCTGCCGCACTCAGCTGATGCGGCACCCAGGGCTTCCGCACGACCTCTGCGGCGCAAGGAGCCAAGGATTGTTGAATTCCAAAGGCAGCCGTATTCTTAGAAGCAGGCGATGCAAGTCGTCATCTCGCGATCGTGATCCTGGGCCGCTTTGAGCTAGTCGCCTTCGGCAGGAGCCATACAGGCGAGTGAGCGAGGTTAATCAAGTGGAGCCAGCCTCAAATAGAAAAATGCGAACCGTGTCGAGTGTTGTATTACAAATTTGGCCCCCCACTGATTCATCTGTGGACCGCATGGAACCAAGTTGGTGCTCTGGGCGGTTCCTCCTGTGCCTACAGTTCCTGACAGGAACAGGTTCCTCATGCTGCTTCATGTATGGCACTCGAGGGATTGACTGCAGGACGATGAAGGACGAGAGGCATCCTGCCGAGACGTCCGAGGGAGCTGAGCGACATGGGGATGCAACCTGAGTGCGAGCTGAGAGCAACCAGGAACTGTGCAGCGGTGCAGCCCGTCGATCCCATCAACCCTGCCCAGCCGCGGCAGGACGGGCGGACAGACCCTTGCACGGGTGGGCTTGAGCTTACTGCAGCCAGCAAAGCTCAGCGCTGGTGCCCTGATACCTTTCTGAGTTGTTCTGCCCGAAATACTGAGTCCGACACGGGGTCACTTGGGGGCCAGTTCGGCTTTGGCCGTTGAGACACAGTAGTGGCTCTCAAC